CTGTCCCTGTGTGCAGGAGGTCAGAGCAGCCCCAGGCTCTGCTCCAGGCCCAGCGATGGCCCCAGAGCCCCGGGCAGGGGCTGAGCCCAGCAATTCCCTGCACAGGAGGCACAACTTCTGCCCTGGGCAGTGCCAGCCCTGAGCAGAGCCCAGAGAGGCTCGGGGCTCTCCTCCCTGGGGTATTCCAGAGCCAGCTGGACACAGCCCTGTGCCCTGTGCTCTGGGATGGCCCTGCTGGAGCAGGGAGTGGCACCAGTTGTCCCCTGTGTCCCTGCCATCCTCACCCACCCTGTGTGTGCAGCACAGTCCCTGCTGCTGAAGGGAGGTTTGCTAAGAGCTGCCACTGCTGCTGTGGGGGTAGGAACTAAACATAATTAAGGATAGACTGTTCCTGTCCAAGGAAGGTCAAGCAAGAACATGCATTTGTGCCTACCCAAACCACCCCTGCTATAAAAGGAATCCTCAGAGACTGAATTTCCCTGAGTGCTGCACGGTGACAGCAAGGCCATACATGTCCTCAAAGAGGGACACTGCTGATTGCCACGGTCATTATTTCATTTTCTTCAATTTCAACCTAACCTAGAGGCGAGCCCAAAATTCATTTTCTACTGCAATGTACAAACAAAGTTTGACCCCAGAGTGTCTCACTGTGTGACCCAAACCCTGAGAAAAGCCAAGCATCGTTGCTTGTTGTCTGAGCCAGTTTTCAGCAGCTTTTCCTGATCTGTAAACAAGAGCAAAGACAGCAACCAGACCAGTTTGCCTTTGCAAACATTGTCAGAGCATGACTTTTCTTTTTTTCCCCTTTCTTTTTATAGGATGAAAGAGTTTTTTGTTTCTCCACCCTCCGTCCTTTTCAACAAGAAGGAAACAAAAGCGAAAGTTTCCTTTTGACAAGGTAACAAACACTTGAAGAAGAGGCTAATAACATTGAAGACATGGACATATTGCAGAGTTCTAGCCAGAAAAACATGGATCAGAGGATTTATATTGTGTATATAGGTTTCCAGCACACCCCAATTTTCAGAGCAATAGATCACTGCTTGAGTTTTAACCACACAGAGCTAATAAGGACAAAGAGTTACACATTTCTGCTTCTTTGATTTAGCTTTCAATCTCAGGTTCAAAGTTCTGATTCTGCTTTATTTTTATGCAAGCATGTGGGCTGGAGAGATCAGAGGACTCTATTCCATCTCCCCTGCTGCTCCTGTGTTTATGTAGGTGACAGCTTTTCTGCTATAATTTCATTACAAAAAATAATTGCTATCTATTTGCCCAAGATTAACTGTGCATCTGTCTGTGTATGTTATACACAAAATTATGCTACAACTAGGACCATATATATTTTTGAATTAATGATGCAGTCCTTGCTCACTCAAAATCCCCACTAAGAAAATAAAAATGCTTTTCAAAAGGCTGCAGGATCAGTAAATTTAAGCTAAGCTTGACAACAGGACAATTTTATTTGGGAAGAAATTTTTATTTGGGAAAGAAATTCAAGGCAAATGAGCTGAGTTCATAATGTGCTCAAACAGAAAAGAGTCCCCATGCTGTCCGAATGGCTGACATAATTTTGCTTGCTTTCCTTCCCTGTTAACTTGAAAATGCAAATTGCTTTGCTGTCAGGGTACATTTGTTCCCACTAATTCAAGACACTATAACAAGCCAAAATATTTATTTGTTGTTGTTTTTTTTTTTTTTCTCACTCCAATTTCTGTTTTATCATAGTGGGAGCATCATCTATGGACTTCATTTACTGAAACATTATGCAAACAGCCCTTATGGGAAAGTCACCTCCCTGTAATATGAAAACTATCCATAAAGAAGGCTCTTAATGCTTTAGGATGTGTTGCCTCAAAGGGCCCAAAAATTCTACTCTGACCAACACCTAAAAGGCCAAAACACATATCCAAGATAACTGCTCGAATGACCCATTGGAAAAGTCTTTTCAGAGAAGGGACTGCTTGGATCTTTCCTGCTTTTCAGGGGATGGGATGGACAGAGAATATGTTCTTTTAATTAGAACTGGATGAGCAAACAGAAGCAGAGAGTACATTTGATAGTTCAATCCTCTTTCTGATGCTTCTTCTTTTTCAGCTGGGTGTTTTTAAAAAATAAAATATTTTAAAATATTTTACTTTGAAAAATGTTTCTGATGGTAATCAGCTTTTAATCAATTATCACTTGTGTGTAAAGCATTTCTGCTCCTATAAGAAATAAAATTAGATTTCAGCTGATAAAACAATGGTTTTCCTAAAAATTCCATTTTGCAATCTTCTGGGGGGGAAAAAAAAATCAACATTTTTACTTAGAATTGTTTGTGCCACTTAAAGGGCTGACATTAGACTCTGCCAGCCCCTTTGCTAAGGTCTGAAAAAGCCCCATGAGTCAGCCCTTGGAGGAGTGGAGATGAGTCCAGACTCACACCAGTGATGAAATTCTGAGCCTCTTGGCCATCTGGTCCTTCCATGAGAGCTGCTCCATGCAGAGCTTGTCTCTAGCAACACTCAAATGAGCTCTAAACAAGTGGATTTTAACTTTGGCATCTTAGTTCTGGGCCTAAAGTCAGGTGGGATTAATCAGACTACAGAAACTCTCCAAGGAAATCCTTTCAAACTTTATTTCTCTTCACCTTCCTCATTCATGCAGCAGCTCGTAATACCCCACCTTGTTTTTGGTGTTTCACACATATCTAATCTTGTTTTAGCCCCATTTGTGTCTGCTCTGACTTCTGTGAAGTCCTTTGGTTTACCACAGTACACACTCAGAAAAGAGACTCCACTTTAGTAAAGGCTTTAAACATGCAAATACAAAGAAGACAAATCACTGAAGCCCTTCCAGTTTCTCAAATACAATCAAAAGCTAAGTTATGACACCAAAGCTCTCACTACAGACATCTGTCATTACAGTAAAAAGTATTTTGGCTCCATTTTACCTCAGTATTCTCCATCCAGAAATAAAGGCAACCCTTACCATTCTCACCAGACGTCTTGTCTTTCCCATTTGTAGCCCCGGTTCCTTGTCTCTGTTAGGGGGGACAAAAAAATCACAAAACAAGAGGTTAGAACACACCTGAACATGCATGTTCCCCTTGGAATTCCTGATAATTACAGCCTGATTTCTCCTCAATACATTGGATAATCCATTCACCCTCAAGCAATGCTGCTTTGAGACACTGCCAATGAACCAGGAATGCTTAGCTCCATTTCAAGGGTGGACTCTGTGATCCTGGAGTTTTTTCCAATACAAAAGACTCAGGTTTAGGTCCAGCTGCATCACTGCTTGTACCCCTGGATGTAATTTTCACCATGAGTGTTATGTGTATGTGTAATCAGGTTCTCAGCAGCACAAGGCTAGGAGATACTCTGCAGCATTTCATTTCTTCAGCTCCCTGCTGTGCCTCCCCTTCCATGACTCAGGAAGACTACAGGGAAGTCGTGAGGTTTAGCAGGGACAAAATGACAAGGGTCAAAGCCAGCCTGAAGTTAATTTTGACAATGCCACAAAAAAACCACAATAACAATGTTCCCTAGAAATACATTAGCAATGGAAGGAGGGCTAAGTAGAATTTCCAGATCTCATTTTGGCTAGGAGATTCATTTTCTGCTTTGGCCACATGAGAAGATGGAATTTCCCACTTTAATTCACTTTGTCCAAAGAACAGCCTCCCGAATTTCCATGAAGAAGAACTGATTTAGATCACTCTGCCAGGTGATAGGTGGAAAATACCAGGGTAGTAGAAATACAGTGGCAAAACACCAGAGTGGTTACAATAGTAGGGAATTTCTCATCTTAGGAATGGTCACTCTATGAAAAATATTCTGCATCCTCCAGAGAAAGTATATCAATGTGGATTAAGGTATTAGTATGGCAAAACTAACATTTCTTATGCAAAATTATTCATGCTTGTGTATGTTACTGAAATAGAACTAAAGAAATAGTCCTTTAGGGTTGTACATGTAAAAATCTGGGAATATTAAACTCAGAGAATCAATCCAGCTGCACTCAGCCATCAGAGGCAGCACATCCTCAAGCAGCAGGGAAGTGAACAGGTACAGGAACACTGCAAACTAAATGGTTTTTACCAACAACTGGACAGTCATGTGGATTCTCCCATGAAAATTCATACAGCCATACTTATCTGAAGGCACTTGCTCTAAAATTTCTGGCTAAAATCTCCTCTGCTTTGGTTTCTGTCTTTTGCCTTTCCAAGCAGTGGTATTTCCAAGGTATTTTTTGTATATAGACTTAATTACGAAGTAAGTACAAGACTTTCATGTGCTCTTAGCTCTGACATGGAAAATGGAAGTAAGTTTGTTTTCTACCTGGAGCCTCAGAGCCAAGACAAAAACTTGGCCAATAACAAAGAATGGGATTCTAAAGGGATAAACACTTTTGACAAAAGCATAAGTTACCAACAGCCAGAAATCAATACATCCACCCAACAACCAGTTTTGCTTTGTGCCTGTATATGAAGTCTGGCTAATAATTCCATGTTTCAACTCTAAACAGCACTTTAAAGAAGATTTTAGTGTTCATTTACAAAATACTTTTATTTTTCCTATCAATAAGAAGATACCTATATTCCTTTTTCTTCTCCTGTATATTTTTAAATGCTTTTTTAAGTTGTCTTATTTCCTGAGCATCTCAGGCTGTGCTACTTAAGCTTTATGAAAGCTTCTCTTTCCTCCCTAGGCTATACCTGTCAGGTTCAGTCTGCTTATGATGGAGTGCTGGAATATGGATTCACACATTTATTTTGTGTCTCAAGATTTCCCCTTGGGGAGAGCAGAATGTTGTCAAAGAAAAAGAATAAAAACTTGAGTTTGGTAAATTAAGGTTTTTGTATTCATGAGGTCATGGTATTTTTCTTTAAGTCTGAAATCAGTTGCAATATTCTGCAGCCATTTGTTTGATTGGTGACCACTGGAGTTGTACAGAAAGAAACCTGAAAGTCTGCCAAGCCAGCTTCTGAGAGCTTTTCCTTTAGTTACAGACCTATTTTGATCTATGAGCCCTGTTCTATCTTCCAAGTGACTGCAATGGATTTGAAAGTCAGAATCAGCTGCTCATTAACAAGGCACTGAAACTCAGGAAAAAGCCAGATACAATGGGATCATCCTCCTGCAAAAAGCCTTTAGTCTTTTATTTCAATACATTCAGTGGACCTACTTTTCAAAACATTTTCAAGGTGTTGGTATTATTAGCAGCTGGAGTTTCTTTCTTCTTTCATCACCTTTCATGATGCTACTGTAGGTTGCAGAACAAAGCTGAGCTTTTTATCTTGGTTCAGAGCAAAAGGGACTAAACACAAGGAGGAGTTACTGGGGGTATTTTCAAGAAGCAATGGATGAAATGCTGGTATAGCAGATATTGTCCATAGATAAAATAGATGGAATTAAAAGCACTGAAATACAAGCATAATATTAATTTCTGGCATCTGATAGGCTGAAGAGCCCCAGCTCCCTCAGCCTTTCCTCTCAAAAGAGGATTCCCATCCTCTATAATTTGCTGCCAGCTCCCTTCCTTCAGAGACTCTGGAATTCCACAGCATCTTTCAAGGCAAGCACCAGGACAGAAACATTGAATAAACTTTCCACTAGGCATCAAAGAAACATCAGAGCTAAAATGAACACGAGTGCAGACCTGTAACGATTATACAGTAAAACATGATAAAGAGTTTTGTTGCTATGTTGTGTAGGAGGAAACAGAGTTTATGACTGCTTCGGGCTATATTAATTTTTAACTCAGTGGTTTTACAAAACACCAAAGACTCGTAATTAAAAATGTCTCCAAAAATCAAAGTGACTCCCAATTTGTCAGCAGAGGAAGTTAAAAAGACTTCTGCCATATGCTCAAAATCCCAGTAAGAAAAGAACAGGTTTGCTTTCCTGTTAAACTCTCACAGCTATATGCAGAGGCCAGTTAATGTGGTATGAAAATCTGTACTAAATTAGTCCCCAAGGCGAGCAAACTAAGGTCAGAAGTGAACTTGCAGCCATGAGGACATTTCAAGAAGAATGTTAAATTACTGCAGCAGCTTTTTGACTTGTTCTTCTAGCCCCTGCTGCACCCCCAAGCTTAATTTTTGCTTTTAATCTTACATTCTGTTCTTGTCTTGAAATAGCCTGACCTTTTCAGCGACGCTTTTAATTAGCACCTCAGTGTTAGGGATTGCAGCCAGGTGTTGATTAGAGAATTTCTGGGGGCAGAAGGGTTGTTTGTTTTATGGTGAGCCACAAAAAGTCCAAGATCAGGGACATGAAACTGCCGGAACGTTCTGACAAATGGGCTCTGCCAGGTAATAACATCAGGCTGATGCTTCACCTCAGTGCAGGGTCAACAGGGTACAAAGGGCTGAATCCCAGGAAAGCAGTGCCTGCAGATTTTCAACAGGATGTGTTTCTACATAAAAGAATGGGGAAAAAAGATCCAAGAGTAAAATTAAAAGAATAGAAACAGGTGGAAAGTTTTGGTAAAGTGGACAGCAGAAAAAGTCAGCACAGACTGACATGGTGACACACACACAAAGTTATTTAGGATGTTCTGTGTTGGCAAGGAGAGCAGCAGGGAAATTTGTGCATATCCTAAGCTTTTCCTAAGCTTTGTATTGATACCCTAAGGTGTGACAAAAGGAAATACACGTCAGTACTAAGCAACACAAAAAAGCTGTGGCTTTGCCAGCACTGTGCCAAGCAAGCCTTCCTTCTGCATCACCACCCCTTCTCCATACAAAGATTTCTCTTTAAGAAACATAAATTGAATCCAACTAAACTATTTCATATGGACCTTATTTTTTTATAGTATTCTGCTTTAATTAAAAAATAACCTCAGCTGTTTCAGCCTTAACATGAAAAAAATTACTGAAAAAATACATTTCAAAGTTTTATGGAGTTTATGATCTTTCTGCAAATAAAAATGTCACTGAAAATATCTGATTAGGGACTTGTGTTTTCCAAGCAAGGAAAGCTTCCCAATCACAGCAGAATGATAGGAGATACATCAGAATCTAAATGAAAATCCAGAAATTAAGTAGGGGCAAGAAGCAAGCAGTATGACCTCAGATGAGGGCTACACTCGGCAGAATTTGGGATTTCAATATGATTATTTAGGTTAAATTCTCCTTTTGTGGAAATTTCTGTGTCACTACCTCTTTCTAAAATCATATACCAACCTGAAACTGTGGCACTCAGCATTTCACACCCTGAAATGTGAAAAACATCACCCTTAGCCATAGCACAGTAATAATTTCATTTAGAAATGGGAAAAACAAATCATAATGCTTAAAAATAAAAATTAAGAGCAGAAAATTAAGAAATTATGTTGCTGTGACAAAAATATTTTGGTTGCTGAAGCTGCAAGGGATTCCTAACGTCTAAGTAACGGGACTGGAATTTTAGCACCACTATATTTTTTCAGAATTATCTATCAGAAAGCACAGAAATGAACAGCTGGGAGAGATAAAGTGCACTGCTGGAGAGCCAAGCACAACTTTTATAATTTCACTCATTTCCTTCTAATTATTTCTTCTCCAAACTGGTCTGCAGCACAGACAGATGGCAAATCCCAAACCAACTCTGTGACGTACAGGTTCACCCACATCAGTCACCTAAAGAACATCTGCAGACAGGGCTGAAGAACCCTCGACAGGAGGTTGGATAAAGCAATAAAAACTGCACATGGTACTACACAAATAAACCTTCTTCACTCTTCCACACATCTACTTGTGCCTCCTTTACAAGTTCCTCCACTCTTCCCTGTATTTTTATATATGTGGTACTGAATATTGAGGAGATCAAAGTGTCTTTCAAAGGCCACATTTAAGGGAATTGCAGCAGGTAGAGAACACCTAGTCAAGATTTTGTTGGAATGATGGATAAATCTGATATGTCTGTTACTTCTGTCTTACACATCATTGTGAGAAATCACAGATCACACTTTCTGAGCAGCCTGACAATAAAAAAAAGTATTTATCAACTTATACCTCCTCACCTATGTATCCCCTCCTCCTTGCATGCTTCTCCA